GGATAAAATAGAACAAAAAAAACCTCAGAAAACTCTCTCTACAGATACAGTTTGATGTATTCTCTGAAATTTAGAATCTTAGAGAGTTGCCTAGGGCAGGGCCCTTAACACTCCAGAGTAGAAATGTGGCATGTACCAAAATAAAATGTAGTTGGCATAGGTTTAACAAGATAAAAATTCAAGAAAACATAGATAATGTTAATATGTGATTTTCTAAGTCAATGTGTACTCACTGGGATACTTGTGTGTGATTTAGTGGCCACATTTCTATTTGAGTTTGACATCACTGACCTAGAGAACTTAATGGTTGTTTGACTTGCTGGTGTCATAGTTGGTACTGGTCAGCAGCTAGAATTGAGACCAGCTATTCCTTATTTTAAGGCATGTTCTTTATTCATTTTATCAAGCTGTCTCTCTGTTCATATTTACTGAATATTGATTAACATTTCTTATCAGATAACAAAGATTTCACTAGCATCTATGAATGAATACTGGGATAGTATTTATTAAAGAATAAATAGAATAATGAATACATATATTATGTAATGTTCTGTACTAAGTTTGTGTTTGTATCTTATTGCTAGCAATGTGTTAATGAATATTTAACAAATGGCTTTCTGAAAATAAATGGTTCCACAATAGACTTTTAAGTTTAACTAGCATTGTTAATGTCTTTCCCATCACTTTTTTAAGTATAGAAAATCAACAAAAGAATAACTCTTCTGCTGACTTATAACATTTGCAGATTTCTGAGGTGAAAATGCTGACATGAAAATTTAATAATTGGCTCTTGCCACAGCTTGAGCTGGCTTTGGAACAAACCTACAGTTGATTCCTAGTTGACTAAAAGATTTGTGGCAATAAGGCCTGTATCTTGTCTGAACTTTGTATCTCCTTTAGCTCCTAATATGGTAGTATGTGTTTTGTAGGTGCTGAATAAATATTTTTGAACCATATATTTTATTACTGTCCTATTAAAACATCCCATTTAGACATTTAGTTCGAATTTTAAAAAGAATGTTTTATTGACCCATAGATTACACCTTACTTAATAGCAAAGAAAATGGTTTTAACGGGGTACAAATTATTTTATTTGTTATACTGATAAAGGATGGCAAGAACAATTACTTAACACCTATGAAAGATGGTATCCATTTCTAATTATGAATTAGATATCTCTTACTAATAAAGTGAAAATTTTGTTTCTTATTTTTAATTCTGCTCATGTTTCAGGGTTTATAAAAGATATTTTTGATAATTCCCAGGAACACAGTGTAGGAAATACTATGTGCTCACTCTATTAAGCCTCCTCGGCCTCCCCTCCCTGCTTCTGTAGCAAACATATTCCATCTCCAAGATAATTCTGGAGCCTCAGTACAATATTGATCCAGGGAAGCTATCGGTAACAGCTGAACTTGGACTCACCAATCCATTCATTTCTAACACTGTCAGAAAGCATGCTAAGCATTAGCTCCTAATCACTAAGAGCAACTTCTGCGTGTCCAGCAAAATGAAAACACCATCGATGCATTAATGAGTGAAATAGTGACATCTCATTGATTATTCAATTGTTCTCTATCAAGAAGGGAAGGGCATTTGAGTACTGCTTCTACAGAGTGGACTAAATGTAGTCATCATCTGTCATGTCACAAACTCAAACTAGGTCTAAGAGCTCCTTGGCTTTTTCCTGAGAATGTAAAATGCATACATTCATACACACCCACATACATACATACTCATATATTCTCACATATTCTCATGTATCTTTCTGTACATACACATAATATACACGTATATGTTTATGTGGTAGCCAGCATTTTATATGGTGCTTTAACATTTGCAAAGCATTTTTAAGATATCTCATTTTATTCTCACAACAACCCTGGGTGTTGCCAGCAATCAAATAGTGCACTGAACGGAAGAATGCGAAATATACTTGAGACATGGGCCAGGCAGAGCAGCAGAACTGACTCAGTTTATTCATCTGAGGGTACAGGATATATAGAGAAAATCTAGCCTAACTTCAAAGAGTCTTCCCTGTGAGATACTCCCCAAAACATCTGCTGAGGACGTGACAACATACATTTCCTCGTTATCAGGGTTCCTAGATTGGGTTGTATTTTCCAAGGTTTTCCCAGGCGCCTTGGCACCACCTGCATAGAGGAGTGAATGTGTAAATCTAAGGTTCAAAGAGTGAGAAGAAATGTCTCAGGAGCCTCCCTTGCAGGGGGAGATTTGGAGAGCCCTGATTCCTAAATGATTGAGCCCTGTGGGTTAAGCCTAGGCAAGAGTCAAACTCTGTCATGGATCTTAAACCCAGATTGGACTCTTAGAGCCGGCCCTCAGCACCTGGGAGGTATATGTTATTCTTGTTTTACAGATGGAACAAGTGAGGAAAAACAGAGCTCAAATGACATACCTCATGTTACTCAACTACTAATGTCTGAGAATAGATTTGAATTCAGATCTTCTTGACTTCAGGACTTGTTTTGAAGATATTCTTTGGCACCTAGCTGTCTCTGTGGTATGTGTGTGTGTGTGTATATGTGTGCAGTTAAGAAATAGAGTGTCCCTTGCCAGTGTAATCTCTCTTTCACATGCCAGCTTTTCAGAAAATTTAAGACAACTTTCATATTTTCCATTAGGTTTTTTTTTCTTCTTCTAGGGTTCTTAAGTTTTTCCAGCAAATCCCCACGTAACATGATTTCAAAACTTGATTGAACTCCTGTAGACATGTCCCAGTATGTTGATTTCCCAGTTAAAACATATAGCCCTCCCTTTTTGACTTTCTAGACTTAATATTCATGCTTAACCTGACTCAGTGCCTGTCTTCTCCTCACTCTGTAACATTCATAGGACCTTGCCACATCCTCACTTGGGAATATCCCTACACCTATTGGTAAATTCCTATCAGGGCCTTTATTTTAAGGAAAGGCCCAGGCCAGCCATTTTTCATTCTGTCTCAGCTTTGCTTCTGAATTTCTGAATTTGGATGTCATGCTCTCACTAATCTCTCCCTTTCCTTTCATGTATTATCTTCACCGTCAACCCATAATCCCAGAGAAATTCTCTCTCAAGTCATATTTAATTTATCTGAGGGTCTCCCCAAAAGGGAATACAAATATACAATGCAGATCACATATAGGACAACTGTTTATTTCCACAAAAGTCATACTTAAAACACAAAAGACTTATTAACAAACTAATTTAGAACAGGAATATCTATCTCTTTTAACAGTCCAAGAGGTGGGGTAGCTGATACTAGTTAGCCAAATATGTGAAGCTTTATGTGCCCCTCACCTGCTTCCAAATAATGACCAGCACATTCTGGAATATAGTAGATGCTTAATAAATTCTTTTAGGACCATTTGACTGGTGTAAACTCATTGGGTTAACTGGGGGACATTTTCAAATTGATAAATCTTGATCCACGGTCTTTGTTCTGATAACTCAATATCTGGGAGATTCAGATTTTCCTGCACAGCATAGACAAAAAAAATCACTTTGAAAATTGTGAAGTGAAACTCGATGCCCTTCCCAATTTTTCCTTTATACAATCTTTTCCCATATTTCTAAGCACTGAGGTCCTAAATACTGCACCCTAGAAAACCAGGGCTCTATATTGCAATGATGCACCCAGACCTGCTCTCTTCAAGAAGCCCCAGGCTCCAGACCCAGCCTATGATCCTTGTCTTAAAATGTGCTTTTCTTATACCCTGTAGAAGACCCTATCTCTGTCAACTGGGAACTAACTAATCTGATACCCTGATAATTTTCTTATCCATAGTGGCAAGATGACCACTAAGTAGATGTTCCTTTTTCCAGAGAGCCCTGACATTCACAGTATAGGTAGACAAGTTGACTATTTCCTGAAATTTTCTTACAAAAAACTGTGGACATGTAGTCCAGTTAAGAAGTACTCAATATAGTAGCTATTCAGAATTTCCTCTTGAAAGGACAGCAGTGATTGGAACTATAGTCCAAAGGTTTGCTGCCAAAGAAGGGGAAATGAGAGAGGTAAACAAACTTTGGGAGGAGAAAGGCTGAAAAGCAGTAATTCTGCAAGAGTGATGCCCCCAAGCTGAGTCAACACATAAATGCCTTTCAATTTCACAAATATTATTAAATACTTATTGCTTGTGCCTACTATTTACCACACAATAGGGATACAAAGACAAACATGAGACAACCCCTTCTTATGAAGGAATTGCCTTCTACAAAGAAAGGGATTTTACATCTAAAAAAATTCAAATCTACGAAATGAATATAATTACATGTGGGAAGGTAATACAAAGAACTGGGGCGAATGGTCTCATAAGAGATAGCATTTGAGCTAAGCCTTGAAGAGAGCTCTGCATTCCAAGAAACAGAGGTCAGAAGGAAGAACACTTTAGGTGTGTGAGAAATAAGAAATTATTATATTTCTATATAAGGAAATTGAGAGAAAAGTAGAACTGGGTCAGGAGCTTCAAGAATTGGGTGAAACTGGTTGTTTGATTAAAGAGGCTGGAAGTAGGACAAAGGTTAAGCTTTACTTAGAGTGCACATGCTTGAAATTTACCGAGAGGAACATGTGGTGGGCATTTCAGGAAGTCTGTGACTTGTGCTGACTTCTACCTATGAAAAGTCAGCTAGGAGGGACTTAAGGCTGGGAATAGGGATATAAGGATTGTTCTCACTTCTGTAGTATATATGTGCTCATATTGAGTTCCACACCTGCTTCCTATAGGAAGCATATTAAAGGTTTCACTGTCCACTCATCCTGAGTCTGTCTAACTTACTGTGCCTATTTGACCACCAGAGGTTATTTCCAACAGGTGTAATTTGGGTTTCTACCAAACCTGAGTCATCATGCATGATACTCTCCTAATTGGTGGAGAGAATGCTAATGCAACATGACATGACAATGTAGGGGCTTTGTGAGGGAGATGAGATGGAAGGAGTTAGTGTAAGAATTTTGGAGAAGAATTCTTGAAGCTATCTTTGTGAGGCATTGATCATGCCAGATTCTCAGGAACCAACACCAGATATGGAAAAGAGACAGAATTTGGAAATGGAAGATATAAAGGGGAGATTAATTCCCTGATTTTCAACTTTCTTCCCCAAAGACTTTGGTGAGTTTCACTTTGGGTGAGTTTCATCTTCAGCCTCTTGGACTGAGTTGAGATATCTTGCTCCCAGTGGAAGAGTTCATTCACTCTGTATATTCTTTGGTGTTTTAATCTGTATAACTTCTCAATTTCTGTTTGCTCTTTGCTTAGATAAATGGGTTTGCTTGTTACCCAGTATTTGTGATGGTCCCTTGTATAATTAGCATTTGATATGAAGGCATCTTTAAGAGACTGTGTCCAGGAAAGCTACTTTGTTCTGAACTTATGCACTCCTAGATCATAAGGACCCCTAGCAATATTTTGGGATGCGTATAGATATAATTCTAGTCTGGGGTCTCTCCATTTCAAGCACAGGACAGTGAGGCTCATAGCTTCTGCTTTCCTCAAGATAGGAATGAGTATTTCTCTTAGAAGGGATGGACAAAATTCCAACTATATCTAAGAGCATATATCAGTGCCTCTTTTTTAAAATCTTGTCATACTGTTCAGATAATAGTCTATTGATTCTTTCCTTCCACTTGTTTTTGGAGGCAATCTGGGTTAAGTGACTTACTCAGGGTTACACAGCTGGTGTCTGAGGCCAGATTTGAACTCAGCTCTTCCTTACTCCTGGGCTGGTGCTGTATCCATTCAGCCACTTAACTGCTCCCTAGTCTGTTGATTCTTCATTTTTCTTTCATCAATTTCAGATCAATTGCATTTTCTATGAGAATACTTACTTTTTTTTTGGTGTTTTGACTTTGTTTTAATACTTACTGGTTAGATAGATGTTTTTCAAGGTACATTTTGGACATTGTACCTTGAAGGGACAGATGGAGATACCATAGTTAGTTGGGTATAAGTCAGTATAGGGTGCTTCTGCTACAAGAATATCTTTATTTGTTACATATTCCAGTTTAGCAGAGTTCATTTTAATCATATATAATAATACCTTACATCATAACAGTAAAGCCAATTTCAGAATGATGAACCTAGGAGGAACATTAGAAAACATCGAGTTCAAAGATTTCATGATAACTGAGAAATGGCCATCCAGTTTTTGCTTAAATACTTCTATTGAGGTATCACCATCTCAAAAGGCAGCCTATTCTATTTTTGTAGAGCTTATAGATAGAGGAGAGAGACACAGACAGAAACAGACAGAGAGATAGAGACAGAGATAAAGCTTTTAAATGTTTACTATGTTCTAGGTTATGCTAAGGGCTGAGGAAATAATTACAAACAAGTAAAGCAGGTCTGTGACACAGTGGATAGAGAGCTGGGACTGGAGTCAGAAAGGCAAATCTTCCTGAGTTCAAATCTGGCCTCAGATACTTGCTAGCTCTGTGTTTCCTCATCTGTAAATTGTGCAGGAGAAGGAATTGGTGTCTTTGCCAAGAAAACTCCAAATGGGGTCTCAAAAAGTTGGACACAACTGAACAAACAACAAAAAGGCAGTTTCTTCCCTAAAGGAATTTGTATTCAAAATGGGTTAAAGAAGAGACAAAAAGAGGAGCTGGGAAGGGGGAGAAGGGAATTGAGATGTAGGCCTAGTTCATTTTGAGCAAGAAAAATCAAAAGTCCACTCATCACAGCCCAGAGTAATTATAGGAGCACAGTCCAAGATTCTATGAGGACATGAAGGTGCAAATGAACTGCCAATAGGGGAAATAATTTGGGATACATAATCTTTTTAGCTCCCTGCAATCCTACGATATGGGCAGCTATGGACTCTGCCCATGTTGGTATATTTATCAGTGATCTCATCAGTGTGGGCATGTTTATAAACAATATCTATGTGTGTTTATATGAGACATAGATATAATCAAAGTATCTGCCAAATACAGTTTCCTGGAGAAGGAAATGTCAGACAAGAGTAGGAGATAAGGAAAGGCAAAGCAGAGGTGGGAGAAAAATCTACTGGGACAATAGCATGAAAGCCAATTTTTGCAAGTAGGATGTAGCTTCAGCGGAGTAAAACAAGAGTTAAGATTTTCATAAAGAACTTCCATTGTGCTTGTCCTTTCCCTTGTCCTTTCTGCCTGGAGGTGTGGGACTCTCTGCAATCCAGTTCAAATCCAGCTAATTTGCAAGTTCTCTAAGCCGTTTTACACACCCTCCAGGGAATTGTTGGTGTGGGAAAGAGACTTGTGATATCTGGCTTACCTAACTCCCCTTTATTAGAATGGTATTTTGAATATGCGCCAGTAGATGGAGATAGTGAGTAGGAAGCGACTCCTCACTGTGGGTTTCGGGGGAAAAAACAGCCTGCAGTGTTTTTATCAACCCCAATTTAGTGCTTTCTAGCACAGAAATTAGCAGAGGAGGAGAGCAGACAGTTTTACAGCCTCTGTCACTCTTCTTGGCAGAGCTAGAAGACCCTCTGGTCTCTTGGACTTGAGGATCTCTTCCCTTCAGTAACATCTGATGGCAGCCAACTGACTGTAGACTCCAATTCCCTTGAAACAGGCTCCTCTGATTCACTCAGATGGGCCTGGTGAGTTAGAGGGCTTTTCCTGAACCCAGGCTCACCAGAGGAAGCCAGAGGAAAACACGTATAATTCTTCAGCCTTTGCCAGAGAAGCCAACATTTTCAAATGATGATTTTTAACAGTTAGAACTCCAAAAGGATACCAAACTGAAAAAGTAACATATAAGCTGGAGCAATTTCATGAGAACTAGATGTGCTTTGAATAGACAATTATTAAAAAAATTAGGTCTATTAACCCCTTCTTGGAGAGACAGAAAATCTTATGGAGGAGTATACAAAAGAACATTCAGGAAAACGTGCCAGAAGGCAGTTCATAACCTAGGAATTATCATCCTTTCTTTTTAAGCTGGGCATCTGATTGATGTTTGGGGCAGGCCAGAATCAGATCCCAGGATTATGAAGAACTGGAAAGGAACTCAGAAACTATCAAGTCTAACCTTCTGCTTTTACAGATATGGAAACTGAGGCCCAGAAAAGTGAATTACTTGCATAAGGTTATTTAGTCATTTAGTGTCAGAGGTGAGCATAGGTTTTCTAGGGAAACTACTAAAAAAATTCTTGGAAGATGAAGCAAGTTTATACAATTGTTCTCAGGTTTGGGGACAACTTTTCTTAGGGGAATTTTGAATCATCGTATTTGGCTACATTTTGCTATGCCATTTATCCATTTTCACATCTTTCGCCAGGACCTTAGTCTCTACAAATAGCAGGATATATAGCCTATTATTAAAAACTACCAAGGACCATGATGACACTATTGTACAGAGTAATTCATTCAAATGTTTCATTTACTTTACACTTCTGTTATGTAAGTGCTCTTTTTATGTATGTGTAGGATAGATTCAAGGCTTGCAAGTGCTTGTACATAAAATATGATAGGACAGGAATGCAGTTACTCAGAGGAGAAACAATTACCTTGCTGCCTGGGCTACATTTTGTTCAAGTGCCTTTTCCACCCCCATATATTTGCATGAAAAAACAAAATAATTTTTGAGTTAAGAAATGCAAAGGCTTGGAGAAAAAGCCTAAATGGATACTGAATAGGTGTGACTTGGCCATCAGAAATTAAAATAGGAGCCAAAGGGAATTCCTAAATCAAGTTAAGATTGAATCCTCTAGGAAAAATTCTACCCGGTAGCCAGGAAACTATAGTCAGCTATGGAATCTCTGGCTCTGTGTCCTAAAGAGTTGGACCTGGGGTAAGGTTTTTCCTTTTAGAGAGGAAATGGAGTAATGAATAACATACTAGATTTGGAATAAAGAAATTCTGAGTTCAGATGTCCCCCTTCCCACAGATGCTAACTAACCGTGTGAATATGGACAAAGCACTTCACATTTCCCAGACTCAGTTTTATCATATTTAAAAAGATGTTGGATTTAGTGGCCTCCACGTTCCTTTACAACAATAAGATTATATCCTCCTATTAAATGTCCATCCCATCCTCGACTTTGAAGACAAACATTAAAAAAAAAAAAAGATAGTCCCTCCTATTGTGGGAGAAGGGAGGCAGTAAAAGGTGGTAGAAAATGAAGAGGCAGCCTATTGAATGAAATCCTCTGCCCCTCCCTTTCTCATTTTCTACCGCCTTTTACCGCCTCCCTTCCCCCACAGTAGGAGGGACTATCTTTTTTAAATGACTTTTTTTGCTTTTATTGTTGTCATTGCTATTATTGTTACTTTTATTAATTTTTTCAATGAACCTCCCTTCCACTCCCTCTTCAATTGATATATTAAAAAAAATAAAGAAAACATTTATAACTGCTAGGTAAAAAGACACAAAACAAATTCCCATATTAACCATGTCCCAAAATGTATGTCTCATTCAGTTTTTTCAATGCAGTCACCTTTCTGGAGGTGGGGAGGTGGGGTAATGTGCTTCATCTTATGTCTTCTGTAATTGTAATCGGGCATTACACTGCTCAGAGTTGGAAAGTCTTTCAAAGTTACCTTTCTTTTTTTTAATGTTGTCATTGTATAAATTGTTCTCTTGGTTCTCACTTCAATCTTCATTAATTCACAGAGAAATATGCAATTTCCTCTGAAGCAGTACATTGCATCATTTTTTATGGCATGATATTCTATTACATTCACAGACCATGATTTATCTACCCCATAGGTAGGTACCTCCTTAATTTCTGGGATTTTTTTTCCCGCAAGTATGAAAAGAACTACTCTAAATATTTTTGTACATATTGGTTCTTTTCCTCTTTCTTTGATGTCTTTGGGGTATGTACCTTGTATTGGTGTCACTGGCCTACTTAAGAACTGCAGCAAATGAGGAAGAATCCGTGAGCAGAGAGAAGCTATACAAACTCCTGCCAAGTGGAATGGCACTAGCAATGATCAGAAGGAACTATGAGAAGAGTGGAAGTGACCAGTCTGGACTCCAGGCCAATAGAAAAGCAACCAGCATTAGACAAAAGAGGCCAGCAGAGAGTAAGGTACAGTTGAGACTGACAATAATGATAACAATAATAACAATGACAGTAATAATAAAAACAACAACAACAATAACAGTAACATTTGTCATCTGGAACTTTAAGAGCTTTATACTATTTATTTATTTATATTATTTATATTATGTCCTTCACTCCTCACAACAACCTTGGAAAGTACATGCTATTATTATCCCCATTTTACAGATGAAGAAACAGTTTTACAGTTGAAAAGTATTTGAGGAAGGTTTTTAATTCAGATCTTTTTCAACCACATTCTCCATTATTAAGAGATGTAATAGATAAAGTACTGGATTGGAGTGAGAAAGACCTGAATTCAAATCCTCCACAAAGTACTTAATTGCTGTAAGACCCTGGGCAAGTCTCTCTATTTATCTCAGCCTCTTTTTTTTTTTTTAATCTATCTGAAGAATGAAAGGATTGGACTTGATGGTGTGTCAGGTCCCTTTCAGATCTAAATTAATAAGCGTTCTTCCTCACACGGTTATTGTGATTATCAAATGATTGTTCTCTCACTCTACTTGCTACCAGAAGCAAAGAATTTCAGGATTTAAGGATCTCAGTGTCCATTTAGCTTAACATATTACTGGAAAAAAATATAATTCTCTTTACCATATCCCAGAAAGGTGCTCTTTTAGTCACTGCTTAAAGAAAGATATTTAATAAAGTGGAATTCACTGTATCTTAAAGCAGGCCATTTGACTTTTGGATAGGTCTAATGAGTAAGGATACATCAAGCCAAAATGTGTCTTGTCACAAATCCTGCTCTTCCATGTTTCTACCTTTCACACATTATACTCCAGCTATACCACTCATATAGCTATTCTGATCTTGACAAGCTGATTCCTCTTGTCACTTTCAGGCCTTTCACTATAACTAGCCCACTCTCCCTTTTCATCTTTACCTTTCTAAATTTTCTTCCTTTAAGGTTAGTCTCAACTCTCAGATTTCTGGAAAACTTCATTTACCACACAGAAAGACAAGTAGGATATGCAATTTCAATTCACAATTTTAGGGCAAGAATATAAAATATTTTCTAGTCCTAAGATAATAACAGCTAGAAAAGAATTTAGAAGCCATTAGTATAATCCTGTGGTTTTACAGGTGGGGAAACTGAGGCCCAGAGAGTTATAATGACTTTGTTGAAGGTCACACAGGTAGCAAGTGTCAGGACTAGGATTTGAGCCAAAGTTCTCTGACTTCCAAAAGAGCAAAGATGTTTAAAGTGGATCATTTTCTGTAAAATATTATGACTTTTTGCCTTCTCATCTATCATTGTTAAGGTAGTCATAAGCATTCATATTCAGATGAGAAGACCAAGAATTGATGTTAGAGAGAGGTGATTTTGATGAAAGTTAAGGAGCATGAATGAAGACAGTAGGAATCATTGAGGGCAGTCCACATAGCTCTGTCTCAATCTTTTATTTATTAGTTTATTTTGAATTATCAACAATCCTTCCATAAGCTTTGGAGTTTTAAATTTTTCTCCCCTTTGCTCCCCACCTCTTTCCCCTACATGGCATTCAATTTGACATAAGCTATACATACACATTCCTATTAAACATATTTTCACATTAGTGATATTGTAAGTAATATAGAACCAATAGGAGGAACCACCAGAAAGAGGAAACAAACCACAACAGAAGAAAAAAACTGGCAAATAGTGTGCTTCAATCTGCATTCAAACTCCACAGACTTTCTTCTTTGTGGACAGCATTTTCCATCACGAGGACTTTGGATATGTTGTTGTATTAATAGGATTTAGTGAGGTTCGGATTCGCTCCTATAAATGACACTCTCCAATGCACCAGAAAATAATAGGAAATAGATAATTTATTTAGAAGAAGTAAAGCACAGATAGTTTGAATTTGCATAGAAAGCATAAATAATAAGAACAATCAATAATATAGCACCGATCAAGAGAGTCGGTAATGGAAGAGAATACATCACCAATTCAAGGGAACCTCCAAAGTCAATCAACGGCTGGGAGCCCCGTTGCAGCCTGTACAAACTTGAATTGTGTAAAGATTTTCCCGGGCGAAGCGTCCTTCCCGCGGGTGAGGCTCAGCGGGCTTACAGGACGCAGTGTTTTTATATTGTTCTAAACAAAGAAGGCTTGGGGCCAAGAAGCCCTTTTTGATGCTTGCGCTATTCATGGTTTGTCCAATACACATCTGACCTTAGCCACGCTCCCATCCGCCTGAGGCTTGGTATTTTGTTTTTTGATAACATCACGTCTCACAAGGAGAGGAGCCAACCCTCCATGTCAACGTGACCTAGGAATGGCTAGTTCCTGGAATGCTAGGCCAAGAACACTCAGGAGATATGGAACGGTCATGACCGAGATTTGAACTGAACCTATTTATTTGAGTGATCTTATTAATTTAAAGGGGAATTTCCAATTTCCATTTCACTTGGCCTTAAGATCATGAGAATAATAGGTGAGGGGCAAAGGTGTGACATGAGTGTATATAGTGCGTATTTTGGTATACATACAACAATTGCATATACAAAGACATAAAAAGAACAAAGCAAGTAGTAGTATGGGGGTAGCTAAGGAATTAAAATACATAGTAGCAGTAGGAGATTTAAAAAGAAAATCATACCAATGATGATTAGTATCTGAGATCACTAAATGAGAAGCTTCGACTAGTCTTCCTGCGGCTATAAGAGTCTGTATTCGATGTTCATTTAACGCGCGTTGGTTGGACTCTAATAACTTTTTGATTTCAGTCGACTGATTCAAGATGTTCATAAGGGGATATAGAGATAGAGACACATGAGGTAGAGGCAAAGATTGGGGTACCCAAGCAAAATTTTTAACTAGGTTAGTGTCTGGTGGAAAGTAAAAATCATTTCCTTGCCAGCGTAGGAAAGATACATTGGATAAGCAACCAGAAAATGGACAGTAGTAACATCTACAGATAGAAGGTCAGAGTGATTATTAGAGGCTATACAAACATATTGAGTAGATACTTCATATATCATAGAAAAGTTACTCACTGGGTATAAAGTTAGATCACACAAATTGGATGAATGTGAGAGAAGGCAGGGTTCCATCTGCCGAGTCATCATCCCACAAACAATCCCTCCATTAGTTACAACACAATCAGACAGAGTATGAGTTACATTATACCAATCTATATAGTTTCCATAGATATAAGGTAAAGCAAAGTATTTATGTAAGACAAAAGGTATTACATGAAATTGACACATAACAGTCCAAGTTTTAACTTGGTAGAGTATAATAGTTCCAGCGCACCAAAGTGGAGTGCATCTAGCATTCTCAGGTTTTTGCTTTTTCCATACATCTGACAAGTCAAGTATATCGTTCCATATGTGAGAGTTACCTTCCTGTAGTAATCTTTGGGCATTTTCCTTCTGTATGAGGGTATATAAGTTTTGCAAGGAACATTTAGTCCAATTAAATAAAACACCAATGTTTTTCATAAGGTGTAAATTAACGAGGATGCTATTATTAAAGACTTGTAAAAATTGGCCTTGATATTGTAATGTATTTTGGTGTGGCAGGATCGTTGTGGGTAACCATTGGGCATTCACAGTCAAAGCTTGAGAAACATCTTGTCCAGCACTGCGCAGTCTGCTAGCCAAGGTCTCAAGGTCTATAGAATTAACTATACCCAAACCAGTTCCTGCACCACCAAGTAATGTATCATACCAAGCTCTTTTTTTCCTGACACAACTTTCTAAAGAGGGAAAAGTTACATTATAATGAAACACTATTTTGTGTTGCAAGATAGAGGTGTTAGTACATGAGCGGGGACACGAATTATTCCAGGAGGTTTCGGAGTCACAGGTACAACCCATACTAATTGGTTTAGATATTCTTCATACAGCCCATTGGAGGTGTTACGACAATAAAAATATTTTCTGTCGTCCGCTTGTGATAGTGAGACAGTGTAGGTGGAGTTTACTTGTGTCCAATTATATGTTACAGATCTTAACCTTTTAGGAAAATATGGACTAGGTGGCCAACTTGTAAGGGTACAGGATATATTGGTACCGTTTGCTGCAGTACAGTTAGATTAAAACTAGTTAAATTGATTCTCATTAGGGGAAATAAAGGGGCGTCCCAAACTTCTACGTTGAATGGGTATGACCAATTCATGATGTGGGTGTTGTTTTCACCGTAGATGGAATCAGTACGCGGTCCTTGCTGAGGATTCCCACTGGAATACCTGGAGTTCATGCCATAGTTAGCGTATAGCAGGCAAACACTGTAAAACACTTAATATCGTAAAAACATTTGGGTTAGTGGGACATGATACCATTTATCATCACCAGGGTATACTACTATGGCAGTATTAGTGTTTCCTTGTGCTATGAGCTCAGCTGGCCTTGGTCTATCAGATTGATGCTTCTTTATCCAAACTTTAGTACCATTATCACTCTGTATTTGTAGGGGGGTCCCATAATAAAGAGAAATAATATCTAGGGTTTTACAAGTGTTTTTCTGGGTAGCCGTTTATAGGGGCAGGCAACTAATACCCCAGAGTAGGTGTCCACACAAGTGCAGGCATATTGACACCCCTGACTAACAGGTAATGGTCCAATATAGTCTATTTGCCAAATTTGAGCAGGTAAAGACCCTCTAGCCAATTCTCCAGTGATTTTCTTCGGCACAGGCCGATGAGCAAATAATTGACATTGTATGCAGTTTTGTACTATTTGCTTAAATAGATCCAGAGGTATGTTAATCCCTCTGTCTAATGCCCACCTGTAAGATGCAAGAGCGCCAAGATGTCCTGCGGTGATATGGACCCATTTTCCTAATTGTGTTTCATTTTCCTCTCTGGGGGTGACCTTTAAAGCTTTTCCTTGAAGTTTGGATAATTCATCAGCACGGGCATTATACTCACGTTCCACAGAATCTTGATTCACATGGGCATCTACATGAAATACAGATACATTAGTACATTGACACCATT